ACTGACTCTCTGTATCATGTGATTAAAACTGCCCGTGATCAATATATCTGCCCCTCTGTTGTCTCAGTGCCCTTCCCCCCCCTCAACATCTCCCGTAAGATCGTCCACCTGAGCCAGAGGGCTGCGCCAGGTGAAACCTCCAGCATCGTCCCTCCTGATGGCGGCGAGGAGAGCGGGCGAGCTCGGCGAGCGCGGGATGTCCCCCTGATGGAGGAGCAGGAGGAGGAGGAGAACGTGTCTGAGGAGGTGGCGGGAACTTCCACTCAGGTTCCCTTCAACCCAACGCACAACCTGACCACCGCCGCCAACCAGACGACTCCGAGCTACTGGTTGGACCCGACCGACCCGTCTCCCACCGACAGGGACGATGAGTTTGTCAACGCCGTTGTGTCAGAGTACGAAGACTCCAACGAGCCGGGTTCGGCCATGGGGCTTCCCTCCGAAGTCTCCGTCCTGCCCACCAAACTGCCCCCCATCCTGCTGGAGCTCCGCTGGCTGCCGCCCAGACCGCCGACCAGCTATGACGGCTTCAACGTCTACATCTACAGAGACGGTGAGAGGGGGCGGAGTCACAACAACAATAATAACACATTAGCTAACATAGCCGGTTTGCTGATGCTGTCCTCTCTGTCTCTCAGGTAACTCGACAGAAACCGCCACCGTGGACGAAAACACTCACGAGTTCTTCACCGAGTTAACGGAGCCGGGAACGTACCGAGTGCAGGTCACCACGCTCAGCTCGTCCGGAGACTGTGAGGCCCGCGAGAGCGCCGCCGACACCAGCTTCACCTTCTACCTCAGTACGGACGCCACCGCGTGAACAGTCATCAACACGTTTATATTCAAATGATTCATCGACCAGAAACCTTGTTCTCATTGTTTCATCCATTAAAACTTCGTTCCAGGTCCCGGTGGCGAGCTGTTGGAGGAGCTGCGCGAGCGTCCGCAGGCCGTCAGCGTCAGACTGCTGGACTCCAGCACCGCCGCCGTCTCCTGGGCCCAGTCCTCCGAGAACCACAACGGCAGCCTGGTGTCGGTGGTCTCTACGACCTGCCTCAGACCCAGTCTCAGCCAGAGGATGGAGAACACGTACTGCAGCGAGGTAACACGACCTGCTGCCGCGTATTGATAATGCAACTCCTGATCGATCAACATTTTAAGTTAACATAAATAACGTGGAACAATTCGTTGGAATGAGTTAATTTTTATGAGCAGCCTCAACTTCATAACTCCTACTGATGATTATTGAGTAATATAAATAAATACAGTTTTTATTTCAAACATTGAACATTATTGTTTGTATTCAGTATAATTTTTAGTAGTTATTTCCTTTAATTATAATGGAATATATATCTACCCATACGATTACAAGTTTTATTGTAAATTACAGCTTTTGGGGTAAAAAATGACTTTATTTTTATAATATTTATCTTTACTGACTTTACTTTCCAAAATGTACTTTAAGGGACTTAGTTGTTCTTTGTGTTTCGTCTACAATCGTCTGATGTTGATTTATAATAATAATATAATAGAATTAACAAATAAATGATGTTTTATTATTATTATTATCCGAGGGGGGGTTGGGGGTTAATGCCTGGCTCAGACACGCGTCAGCAGCAGTTTTTATCTGTTTGTACAGGAAAACTCGACCAGTGACATCATCAGCAGCCTGACCCCCGGGGCCCAGTACAGGGTGGTGGTCTACCACACCAACGGGCCCCTGATCAGCCCCCCGTCTGAACCCGTCATCATCGACATAGGTCAGTGTCACCCCCAGTGTCACCCCCAGTGTCACCCTCAGTTATCTGTGTGTCTATATATAAATATATAAATATATAAATATGTGTGTGTGTGTGTGTGCGTGTGTGTGCGTGCGTGCGTCAGAGCCCACCGGCGTGCGCGAGCTTGCGGTGTATCCTCTCAGTCCGACCGCCGTCATCCTCAGCTGGCAGCGCCCGTACCACGTGGCGTTCAGGAAGTACGTCCTGCAGACCTTCTTCTTCAACCCCGTGACGTTGGCCTCAGAGTGGACCACCTACTACGAGATTGCCGCCACCGCCTCCGTCATTGCCTCCGTGGTAACGCACGCCGCTCCGCTATTGACGATCTTTCTGTTACTGAGGCCAAAGTGGCTCAGGACTGTTTCTGTTGTGTTTATTTATTATATATTTAGTATTTATTTATCATATATAATCTGAAAGCTCTCGCTGCAGTGGTAGCGAACACTGAGACACTCATGATATATTAATTCAGCTTTACTCTTTGATCTCGGGGCTCAAACACTGAAGTTGAGGTTGAGGGTTTGATGCCTGGCTCAGCGGCACCTCGGCAGCAGGATCAGCAGATATCTGTAGATATGAAGTGATCAATGTATTGATGGATGTATTGATCCTGTTTTCCCCTCAGAGGGTCACCGACCTGCTGCCGGCCTGGTACTATAATTTCCGCGTTTCCATGGTAACGTGGGGCGACCCACCGCTCAGCTGCTGCGACAGCTCCACCGTCAGCTTTGTGACAGGTACGATCACCTGATCAATGGAGTTTAAACATCATCACTTCCTGCTGATATTTCACAATAAAAGCCATAATAACTTTCAGAATAAAAACAAAGCTACAACCTGAACATGATTATTGATACGTTATATATATACTAATAATAATAATACAGTACAACAGTAATATGTCTGCTGCTCATTTATAATAATTCTAATATAATAAACTTTATTTAGAGAGCTATAAAGCTTTTATTGGAGAATTGATCACATTATTGTACATTTAATCAATATTAATATTAATACCTTTCCCAATCACCCGTCTGCCAGCTCCTGAAGCTCCTCACATCTCCTCCGTGGATTACTCCCACGGCGTCCTGTACGTACGTTGGACCTACGGCGAGCTCTTCATCGACCTGTCGCACTCCAGGATGCTGCACTGGCAGGTTGTGGCGGTCGGCAAGAAAGGACCGGAGAGGAGCTACTCCATCGACGTGAGTTTGTACACAACTTTATTAACACTGTACAAACACAACTTTATTAACACTGTACAAACACAACTTTATTAACACTGTACAAA